AGCCCTTCCCCGTCTCATGGCATGACTGTCCCTTTCGTAGCCAGGGCCCCCGCCCCAGCACCCGTCCGTGGGTCTCCAGGGCTCCCCCACCCACAGCCGTTGTCTCCCTCTCGTGCATTCAGGAAAGCTGGAGATGCCAGGGAGCGTGGCGGTGGGGACCGGACCACTGGCCGGAGCTCGGCCCCTAAGGTGACTTAATACAACGGCCCGTTGCGTACCACGACGCTACGCCCGCAGCGAAGCCTGTGTGGCAACCACAGTCCGTTGCCTCACGAGATTCCTCCTGCTGCCTGGCGCCTCTTCAGCCCTGCACAGGCGGAGGCTCCGCTGATCTCTGCGTCTCGGCGGCCTGTCCTGGCTTGCTGGCCACGCTGAGCCTGCGATGTCACGATCCGGACCTCACTGCCTTGCCTGGCGCAGCGGCAGGGAGCGCTCGGCAGAGCTTGGTGCTCAAGCTATTTAGATTTGCCAGCGTCTGAACGTGCAGAGAAAAAACCAACAGCAAGACAAATGGCAGCATCACTGAGCTACGCGGCGACGCTTATTTGGGATCCGGGAACTTAAGGAGGAGACCGCTGACCTGTCAATGGGGTCCAGAAGGAGCTGGAGGGTCGAATGGAGCCATGGCGCCCTGCACAATGGCGTGTGGAAGCAGCTGCAGTATGGACTCGAGGTGAACGGATGCACCGAGGATGGAGCCGCACCCACACGCCGCGCCCCGCCGCACATCACGCACGCGCCACAGGCTACAATTGGACGCTCTGAATGGCAAGCAGCCGGCCTCTACTACACGACGTGAGCAGGCCTCACCAGCTACGTTCCGCTGGCTGGAGAAGCAGGGGTCAGAGAGGATGCGGGGAATCCGGGCACGATGATCACAGGCTCACTGGACTCTCTCAATACTTTACCCTGCGGCAAACGCCTTCCATGCTAAAGGATGGAATTCTACCCTCACTCTCTTCTCTCTGTCTCACCATTCTTCAACTTTCTCCACTGATACCTAGTCCCTGGACAACGCAAGCTAGAGCAAGGAACCTTCTGGGAGCACACTGAAGGGCAGGAGGGGACTGGATGAACAGTGATCGTGCCAGCCCTCCATCACACCGTGAGGTCATGCTGCCACATGGCCCACATAACGATGCGTCCCAAACACCTTCCCCTGGTTCTGCAGGTGCCACAATGCCTGAGAGACCACCCCTGGAGCCAGTTCCCGAGAACCACACCTATTACATGCGACCGAGTGTCCCAGGTAGGGTGGCCCCTTTGCAGATAGCTAGGCTGCTCAGATTGGCCACCTGCGCTGGTGATGCTAGCATGGTGGTAGTGAGGGTGCACAGTAGGACTCCAGCCTCTGATGCGAATGCCTACCTCCAGGAGGCATGGTCCGCCCATGGTGACGGCCCACTGGCGTTCATCGCTGCCCACCCCCACCAGAAGTCCATCACTTGCTCTCTCCAGAAAACTGTCACATAAAGGCCACCCCAGCAGACCTAGTTCCTGTTAAAGCACCATTCTGTGAGGGCACCCTCTGGGCACTGTCCCACCATGACCACCACTGGCTCACTGTCTATCTGCGGATACCGCTGACGAGGTTCTTAATTCCAGGCCATTAGGAAAAATCGAAAAATCCACAGACAGCAAGTGGCCCAGGCTCTGCCATGAAACTGATAAGCAGTTCTCTCTACTGTTAACAAAAGCATGATCCGCACACAACATCGGCAGACCACAAATGAGGATCCCAGCGGAAAATCCCTGCTTTGCCTTCCCACAAGATAACTGGTGACTCGACCATCTTGGTCGCTTGTGCAGAACAGTGGGTCTTTTCTAATCCCATCCAGATGCAGGTTCTGCTAATGCAGGGTCCACGGCTGTGTTTCTACCTCTCTCGGGTTCTCTTCCCACTCGGCACCATGGCAGGGGCTTGGAGATATTAGGTCCGGAGTCAGTCAGCTACCCCCTGGTGGAGCACGATCGTGATGGTGTGGAGCTGACGCCTGACGCTATGGGCCCAGCCCTTCCTCCTTTAGATAGATCCCCGAGAGGAAGCATGAAGGGAGAGTTTAGTAAATGCCTAGGAAGGACCTTCAAGATGTGGGTGCATCTTTCCCAGTGGCTGGGTTTTCTGAATAGTTAGTGGCTAATTTTTAAATACCTAAATGTTTTTTAGCTTATTTTAGCTAGACAGATTTCTAAAATGTTTTGTGTGCTTCCTTGGCATTTTAATCCAAATATCATTGTCAAACATAGATCTTTAGACTTAAATGTCACCTTAGTAAACATCTAGAGGTATAATCCTGCAGATGAGCCTACTGATGCCAGAGAGCACTGGGGACTTGCCAAAGGTCCCAAAGTCAGCGTCAGAGCCAGTCTAGAGCCTCAGACAAACCCCTGACACCCCATCTGAGGGGCATGCCAGTAAAACAGGACACCTCCCATGGCAATGCGCCTTTCCGTGGTGACCTGAGTCATCTCTGTGCACACCTGTTACCCGGGCCTGGAGCAATGTTATTATGCTGGCTCAGGGCTCTCTGGGTTCACTACTTCTCCAAATGCTCCCTTTGACACTGTACTTTTAAATTTCCGTGCTGAGCTGTCTTTCCACTATTTTCACTGACCCCTTCCTTCCTGACTGAATGTCAACTGCCATTTCTTGCTGCTTTCTTGTATTGCAACTTACAGACACCACTTTCCAGCTTTTTGATTTTCATTTCCCTGGCTTGGGAAACTAACTAAATAAACTTGTTAGAATTCTGTATAAATTAAAAAACAAATGGTGGCTTAGGAGTGACCAGACTTGTTAACCTACTGAAGCAGGCTACTAATTGTCACTGCAACTGTATCCCCAGCACCCAGTGCAGGCTGTAGCCCATGATGAACTCTCAAGAAATACCTACCAGTGAATAAATGAATGATTAGCTTCCCAGTGAGTTAAACCTTGGGCTATTGTACTCAAGTTGGCCTAAGTGCCCAACTGAGTTGCAAGTGGTGTAACATCAGGGTACCAATGTCTTACCCCCTGCTGTGCCACCCTGAGCACGTCTCCACCATAGCTTAGCATCCTTTGCAGGGCTGGTGGGGGAGGGAACTAACACATATGGAGCATTCACTCCATGACAGGTGCTGTGCTAGGTGCTTTATAATACGTATGTGCTTTCATTCAATCCTATAAGGACAGTATTATTGTGTAGCAGAGGAGCCTGAGACCTGGGATCTTAACTTACCCAAACATCACCCAGTAAGTAAAGGCGCCTAGGATGGTTCCAGTCACAAATCAGGTGCTTGTTTAAACTCCAATGAAAGAATGGCCAGAGATGGGATTGTCACCTAGGTCCACCTGTGCCAAAGATAGCATGATTTCCACCTTACCCTGTGGCCCACCGTTGAGAGGAGGTATTTTGGACAACAGGAAGAATGTGGGCCTCCTCTTGAACCCTGGAGGCTGACAGCCATGAGTCAGAGAGATTAGAGACCCCACAAGAATAAGGCGCCACGGTTCCAGTTGAGGGATCATCCCTCCCCTGTTAGCGGCGGGCATGAGCTGCCAGATGGAATGGCAAATGTCACAGGATGCTGGGGAGCTTGGATTCCTGCCAAAGCAAATGCCTTTGTTCCCCGGGCAATCCTTGCTGATGGCTTCCACCCTCACCTTGAGTCAGCTAGAGATGCAAAGGTCTCTGTATGGGAGGGAGTCCAAGTGCCCACTTCTTTGAATCCCGTGGAGCAGGTAAGCAGGAAGCACACATCGCCTCCTAACAAGAGCCAAGACTGTAATCCTTGGAAAAAGGGCCTCTGTGTTCCTTCTCTGCTCCTCGAGGAAAACCGGCCCAGGGAGGGAGGGGCCAGTGCGAAGCGTCTCACAGGCAGGTTGTTTTCAGACTTGGCCGTCATCCTTGAGCAATTGAGTGTACTAGTTAAGGTCAACATCATGAACAAAGGAGGCAGAACTCCCCAGGATTAAGCCTTGGCTCTGCTGCTGGTTGGTAAAATGACTTGGCCAAGACACTCGGGCTCTGCAAGGCCCAGATCCCCCTTCTCTAAAAGGGAACTAATGACAGCACCTCGTGGAGTTGATGTACATTTTAAATGAGATGAGGGATGTCTTCCAACTATTCCCCAAAGCACCGTGTGCCCTGGCCTCCTTATCCCATCGTGCCCTGCAACCTTTATGCTGGTGTCATGCCTCATTGGTCTGCTCTGCTGATCCCTTTGCCTGGAATGCTGCCTCAAGCCTTAGCAAAACCCCTTCCTTGCTCAAGGCTCTGCTTGAGCAACCCCTCCTGTGGGTTCTCTAATCACCACCTGCCTTATAAGGGCACACTTCTCGCCACCCACCCACTCCACCAACCTCTCTGCTCAACCTGGTCACCTTCCCTTCTGTTCTCACATAGCAAGTCAATTGCACATCAATCTCCAGGTGGTAGGCACCGTGCTGGACAACAGCAACACAAGCAGGACTGCACAGACAAGCCCTGGCCCTCCCAGAGCTTCTGGGTGTCTGAGCAAGACACAGTTTAATAAGCCATGCTGAGGAGGTACCTATGCTAGCCCTGGGGCACAGAAGAGGGAGGCCAGACCCAGGCTTGCAGCTCAGGGAAGTCCTCTACCTAGGGAGGGCTCAGCGGAGACCTGAGGATGAATAGGAGGGAGGTGGTGAGTGAAAATAGGCCAGGGCCCATGTTCACACAGGGGGAATATTGTTCATGTCCATCATCAGAGCACCTGGCAGTTGGTGATATAATTACATGCCCACAAGTCTGACTCCATTTCTGAGCTGAAAGTTCCAGCAGGCTGATGCCGTATCCTGTCCACCTTTGTCACCACAGTTCATATCTCAGTGCCTGGCATAGAGTGGGGAAGTGTCCAACAAATGTTTGCCAAATTGATGAATGCACAATAGCGAAAAACACCTGGGGAGTCAGCAGCTGGCTCTGTGATGCCTGCAACATGCAGGAGGTCAGAGGAGGCTGAGGTCACAAAGGCTGGGAAGTAGCAGGGAAACTGAGGCAGGGGCTATGCTTCAAGATCGGGAAGATGCTTTCTGCAGCAAGAAGAGCTAACTGAACTAGCAAAATCTTCGGACAGGGTTCCTCAAATTTGAAACTATAATGATTAACAACTGAGCAAACAAGCTTTTTCTAGAGATAGATACCAAATCATCCACTTGGGTTTGAAAGCATAATTCCACTTGTCCAGAAGAAAAGAGATTTAAGTTTAAAAACAGGTTTACGAAAAGAGAATTTTCAGCTTTACGTGATGGCAAGCTGGACATGAGCCTATGTAGGATCCAGGGCAGTGCCGAGGGACTCACACCGCTCTGCAGGTCGCATACACCTGGAGCCACCTGGCTCAGGACACTACCGTGAAGGAAGAGGACAGTGAGGCTGGGGAGGGGCAGGTGAAGGACTGGAACTTTTCCACCAGAAAAGAGAAGGCTTCATGGGTCCAGGGTGGCCACGATGGGATGCTGGAAGGGCCACGTGGGGAGAGGATTACATGCTCCAAGGCGCAATCATAGTCCTGCAGGTGGCTGGACATGCTGGTTCTGTGCGGGAGGAAGGGCCTGTCCATTCATTCATGGATGGGCTCCGTGGAGGACGATCACCCAGCAGTGAACTGAAGGGACTCCTGCCCAGGGAGGGAATTGGGCTAAATTACCACAAGATCAAAGAGCACTGGGCTTGGAGTCAGGAAATCTGGGTTCCTCCCGTCATCTACCTGTGTGACTCTGGGCCTTCATTTTCTCATCTAAGACAATATCTGCCCTGCCTTTCTCCCCCTGGGTGTTTTTAGAGTCACATGACATGGTATATATGAAAGTGCTGTGTAAACTGCAAAGCCCTTTGGAAATACAAGAGCTGCTATACTATTCCCTTTAAGGATCATTTTGTGAACTGCACCCTGGGGGCACTGGCTGAGCAGGCTTAGCAACCTCCCTCCCTGCCTCCCCCGGGGAGGCACCACCCTGGCCTGATCCTCTGAGGCTGGGCATGAACACTCTTCCACCCGCCCGCTCTGCCCTCGCCCAAAGCAGCACACAGATGCAACAGCACGGGATCTGTGGCCCACCAGCCAGCACTCTGCCAGCTGGAGACAGAGCTCAGCTTCTAGACCTTAGGTCAACCACACTTCAAGGTGGGAGGTGGGGAAACTGAGTCCAGAGCCGCTTGCACAGAGCAAGGAGGCAGCGTAACAGCTCACCACTCTGTTCTCTCGGCTCCCCGCCCAGACACTAACCTTTGGGGAAGTCATTCAGGGGAAGTCCACTCGGGTTAACTTGGACTCTAGATCTTATCCACCAACCCACGAACTCAACCCATTAGCTTCACAACATACTGTCCTCTCCCAGGGCCTCAGTTCCCCTCTGTAAGTAGGAGTATTGGAGTCACCAAGGTCCCTTGATGTAGTGCACTGGGGTGCAGGCTGCGGGGTGAGTCAACCCTGAGTCGGAGCCTTGGCTTGGCTTCATCCTAGCTGTGTGGCCTCAGACAATTACTCAACTTCTCTGTGCCTCAGTTTATTAACATGTAACCCGGGGATAACTGTGCTTACCTCCAGGTTCGTTTGTGAGAACTAAAAGAGATACTACCGAGAACTTGCTCAACACAGAGGTACACAGTAAGTGCTTTTATTATGATCACTGCCTTGGGGGTCAGCGGACTCTAACCACGAGATACCAGGGTTTTTCCGCAGCAGAGCATGTTTTGATGGGGAAAAACTAAGAGGAACAGTATGGGGTTACAGGGCACGTAGGTGAGATGGGAACCCCAAGAATGAGGCAAATAGTTCCAGGGAAGAAGGAGGAGGGTCCAGACACCAGTGCAGGCGCCAGGGATTGAATTTCAAGTCACCAGGTGGGATTCCAGCCCCCTGGGGTGTGGATGGGGAGAGCTGATTCCTAATTTAAGGGGCTCCCAGAGCCCCAGGCAGGGGCAGTTTCCTAGAACCCCAGAATCTGCTGGGGTTGTGGGGTTCCGGCAGCCCAGGTGGGGGTGTCTCGGAGCGCGCGCCCAGGCCTCACGCGGCCCACCCCGCCCGCAGGCGCGCCGGCGCAGCGCTGGTCCATGCAGGTGCCGGCCGAGGTGAGCGCGACGGCGGGCGACGCGGCTGTGCTGCCGTGCACCTTCACGCACCCGCACCGCCACTACGACGGGCCGCTGACGGCCATCTGGCGCGCGGGCGAGCCGTACTCGGGCCCGCAGGTGTTCCGGTGCGCGGCGGCGCGGGGCAGCGAGCTCTGCCAGACCGCGCTGAGCCTGCACGGCCGCTTCCGGCTGCTGGGCAACCCGCGCCGCAATGACCTGTCGCTGCGCGTCGAGCGCGTCGCCCTGGCCGACGACGGCCGCTACTTCTGCCGCGTCGAGTTCGCCGGCGACGTCCACGACCGCTACGAGAGCCGCCATGGCCTCCGGCTGCACGTGATGGGTGAGGCGGGCGCGGGGCCTCTTTCCTCCCTGACCGCTTGCTGGGTGCCAGGCGCTGTGCCCGCCGCTGCGCTAGGACGGGCGACAGGACCCACGCTTGCTCCTCTCCCGCCAGGGCCTCACACCTAGGGGTGGGTTAGGGCCACCTGAGAACTTAGTCAAAATGCAGAATCCCGGTCCCGGGAAGGGCTGGGTGGGCCCGGGAATAGGCATTGTAATGTCGCTCGTAGAGAGTGTCCCAACAGCTTGCGGACGGAGGGGAAAGACGAGGGGACGGTAAGTAGTGCTAAATATGACAAGGACTGCAATGGGTGTGAGCGCCCTGCCCTGGGAGAAACTCGCAGCCCCCTGAGGGGAGTACAGGGAGCCCACCAAGTGCCCAGCAACGATGCCTGACCCGGGGTCCCCATCCCTAGAGCAGTGGTTCTCCTCTCCAGCCCCAATCCTGCTCTACAATAAGGACACTTAGTGAGCACTTGCTGTGGGGCCAGGCCCTAGTCCAAGCACCCAAGAAGCATTAATTTGCCAAATCTTCTCAACAACCTCATCGGGTATGATCCCCATTTTATACATGGAGAAACTGAGGCATAGAGAGGTACAATGGAATCGCTTGCCCAAGGCCACACCTGAGACCCAGGCAGCCTGGCACCCAAGGGCTCACCCTCACCTCCGAGCCTCCCTACCCTCACTCCTCCTGCTCTCCGGTCCAAAGGGTTCCGGGTTGCCTTTGTCCGCTGCTCGTGCACTGCAGTCAGCTTTCTCGCCCTCCCCCACCCTAGCCCCACCTTAACGGCGGCTCGGTGACTGTCGCCGCCTTCTCCCCCACAGCCGCGCCACGGATCGTCAATATCTCGGTGCTGCCCGGCCCGGCGCACGCCTTCCGCGCGCTCTGCACCGCCGAAGGGGAGCCGCCGCCCGCCCTCGCCTGGTCCGGCCCGGCCCTGGGCAACGACTCGGCCGCCGTGCCGGGCCCGGCTCAGGGTCTCGGCCACCAGGTGACCGCCGAGCTGCCCGCGCTGACCCACGACGGCCGCTACACGTGTACGGCCGCCAACAGCCTGGGCCGCGCCGAGGCCAGCGTCTACTTGTTCCGCTTCCGCGGCGCGGCCAGGGCCTCGGTCGTCCTTGTCCTGCTCGGCGCGCTCGGCCTCAAGGCGCTGCTGCTGGTCGGCGTCCTGGTCGCCCGCGCCGCCCGCAGCAGCGCAGGTGGGTGCGCCGGACCGGGAGGGCGCGAGGGGCGGGGAGGGGCTCTCCTCTTAGGTAAGGCCACGTGGCCGGCCACAGGGCACGACCAGAACATCTTTTTGGCTCCAGCATCGTCTCACTTTCCTCCAGCCCCGCAGGTGGAAGCCAGCACGAAAAGCCCCATTTTACAACAGGGAGGCTGAGGCTCAGAGAGTGACCTGCCTTTTCCATAAAGGAACAGAGATAGAGACCCTGACAGCGAGCTCTAGAGTCCTCTCCTTTACGGCCACCCCATAAATGATTCTTCTGGAAGGGCTCTGACCACAGACTTTCCCATACAACACCGTTCCCTCATGATTCAGGAAACGTCCTGAGGCCCCAGTATGTGTTGTGTAGGTGACTGTTGTCATGGGACGTTTGCTCTGCGCCCCACAGAGGGAGGGGGCTTCCCAGAGCCTCTCAGACCACCCAGGGCCATAGCACCAGCCTCAAACTCCAGTGAGGAATCCAGAATTTACCATGGTTGCCCTAGCTGCTTCCTTCCTGTGGCCACGCTGGCTTTCTTGCCGGTTCTTCAAACTCATGAGCATCTTGTGCCTCAGGGTCCTCAGAAAATCGGTTTCTTCTGTTGGACTGCTCACTCCACGCTTCCTGTTAACTCTGCTCAAGGCTTAGGCGTCGCTTCTTCACACCCTGCTATTTTGCTGTTTGTTGCACAAACAGTGGTTTCCCCGAGAGCCCTTTCTACAGTGGGGATGGTGGGTGGAGGCCACAGAGGCTGCAGGCTGCAAGAGTGATGTCGCTTCTCTCTCTGCCCCTCCCACAGAGCACCTGGCCACCCAGGACACCCCACCAAGGTAAGTGAGCTCCCCTACCTAGACCCCACCCCAGCTAGTCCCCCTCAGCCAAAGGGTGCAGGCAGTCTTCTCAGAATGGTGGCAGGAGAGAGAGCCGGCACACGGGGAGGGCTGGGGGCCTGGCCTTGGGCAGGGTCTGGACCCTCGTTGCAGCCACCAAAGCAGCCCCTCCCTCAGTGCGCCAAATCCGTCCCACACACACAGACACATGCCCAGCCGGGGCAGCGCTGCTGAAGGATGATTTTTCTATCTTATCGCCACACCCCTGGGCTTCGTTTCCTCTTGCAGTCCTCCCTCCGCATTCTTGGACAGGCAGACCCTCCCGAAAGCCACCTTGGGGTCACCCAGCCACCCAGGCACTCTGCTGAAGGCCTCGAGAACAAAACCTCCAGAGGTTCTGAGGTTCTGAGGTTCCTAGGTGATGGGCCAGGGACCCCCGCTAGGAAGTCATTGACCCTCGCTCGGGTCCACACTTCCCTGTTCTGTGGCACCTGCTGGAGTGAAGACCCATGTTGCCGGGGAAAGAATCGGATTTACAGACCCTGGACCGTCTGTGCCTGATCCTTGCTGGGGTGGGGGTACGGTTGGGGGTGCAGCCTTCCAGAGCCCGTTAGAGGAGCCAGGCGATCCCATAACTGCGCCCACCTGCCCCCACTGCCTGGCCGGCCCCTCTCTCCAGCTGCCCGCTTGACCATCTCCCTCAGTCTCACAACCTGTCCCATGTCCCTTTTTTCCCCTAATTTATTGTCATACCAAGGCTCCTGAATCAGAAACACGACTGTTGTTTAGTCATTTAACAAATATTTGAGTATCTGCTGTGCACCAGGCACTGGTTTAGATGCTAAAGACACAGCAAAATCCCTGGCCTCACATCCTAACATAGAGAATTTGGATAAATACACAAACAAGGTCTTCTTAGATGGGGAGGGGCCGGCCACTGGGTGTGGCTCTTTAGATCACGAATCTCTCCCTGGGGATGTGACCTTGAGGGGACCTGAACACAGAGGCTGGAGCAGGGGATAGCGGGGACAGGGGTCCAAGTAGGAGGAAAGGCAAGTAGAAAGGCTCAGGTGAGACCAGGGAGGAGGAAGGCGTGGTGGTGGGGGTGCGGAATACCAAGTACGGTGGGAAGTCACCGAATTGTTTGAAGCAGACCAGTGGCCCGTTCAAAACAAGCAGGGACCGGAGACCTGGGAGGAGGCCGTTGTCGAGGCTGAGGCTGGCTAGGCTGTTGGATGAAGGCACAGTAGTGGAGGCGGGAGATGGGAGGCCGGGCTTCCCCCGGGGCCGGGTGGACAGCACGCAGTGTGGGACGCTGCCAGGCTGCCCAGGGTTGGAGCTTGAGCCTTGGGCACTGCTTACTGAGATGAAAAGGGCAGGGGAGGTGGGGACCATGTGTAGCACCGGAGGACACTGAGATCTGAGATTCCCATTAAGATGTCCCAGGGGAGAAGGCAGGACAGCAGCTGGGGATGAGGAGGTCAGGCCTGGGAATGTGCATCTGGAGGTCAGGGACATCGAGACGGCTTCGAAGCCTCAGAGGAAGACAGAGCTGTGCAATCTGGGCTGCTGCCGCCAACTGTAGCCCCGTCCCTGTTCCTGCACTGCCCTGCTTCTGACATTCGCAGTCTCCAAGCCCTGTGGGTTCTAGCGTCACTGCCCCCACAGCCTCTCCCCTTCCTGGCCTATTACTGGGGTACAATTTGGGCAGACCTCTTGCCTGCACTGGGTGTTCAGTCAACTTTCTCCTGTCTGCAGGCCCCAGGCTCAGGAGTCCAATTATGAAAATTTGAGCCGGATGAACTCCCGGGACCCAGCAGCAGCCATGTGCTCACCGTGACAAGCCCTGCAGCCACCAACACCCATTTGTGCACCGTGAGAAATAAAGGCCGATTCCAGGCCTGGCTGGTCCAGCCCTTCCTGGTTGCCAGGCACTTGGGCAGCCCTCATCAGGGTGACTCCTCGAGGGGGTCTGGACCCTGAACACAGAGGCTCTTCTAGTCTCCTACATGGACATCTGTCTCGGAGCCCCCTGGTCTGACGTCCGTGGGGCCAGCATTTTGAAAGAGTTTGCGTGTCTGTGTGTGTGCATGCATGAACTTCATGTTAAACTTCCAGAAACTTCCCTCACCCTTTCTTACCTAGAACACCATAGTAAAGCAGACAGGAAGCTGGTCATAGGGTCTGGAGGCCCAGTCTTTGTCCTGCTCTGTCACCGACTTGCTGTGTGCACGGGAACACTTTCTTCACCTCTCGTGTCTCATCCACTGTTGAACAAGGACATTAATACTCTTCCCTCCTGGCTGGTGGCACTGTCAAGATCTGAGGAAATACTGGATGTGAAGGAGCTTTGGAAAGTACAAGGCTGTCTGCAGATGTGAGGGGCAGCACAGGCCGCTCCTTGCAGAGCCACCTTTGGATGTGCAGCAAGTGCTTGATTAAGTGTCCCTCACAGCAGCCTCCTGGAGAACGGAGGGTTCCAGAGAGCAAGCCCGGGCTGGGGCTGAGCAAACCTGCGGTCAGAGGAACATCAAATCCTGGAAACTCAGTGGCAGGGAGAGGCCTGGAGCTCCTGTTTCCTGGGATTTCCACTGTGACTGCCCCACACCCTCTGCACTGCCTCGAGCCAGGGCCACTCGGAAAAAGAAACCAAACACCCACCTCTCAAAGCATCCAGAAACCAGTGCCTTAGGGACTGAGACCTGGGAGAGCCGAGGGAAGGTCTAGCCTAGAGGGTCCCAGCTCGAGTCTGGCCAGGTTGACTTTTGAGGGGTGCTACCTTCCCTGTTTACACTCCAATGTGAATTTGTTGATCCTATTAACTCATGCAGGCCTTGGTGTTCAAGACAAGGGGAAGAGGCTTGCCTGGGATCCAGGTGAGCTGGCAAGAGGAAAGGGAAGCAAGATAGGGCAGTGGTCCCCAACCTTATGGCACCAGGGACCAGTTTCCTGGAAGACAATTTTTCCATGGAAGGGGAAAGATGGAGGAGGGTGCAGGGCAGGAGGCAGAGCTCAGGCAGTGATGAGCAGCCCTATTTTCCTAATAGGCCATGGACCCGTACCAGACAGCAGCCCGGGGATTGGGGACCACAGGGATAGGGGACTAAAGAGGCAGGGAATGAGATATCGTCTCACCCCACTTAAAATGGCTTTTATCCAAAAGACAGGCAATAACAAATGCTGGCGAGGATGTTGAGAAAGGGGAATCCTCTTATACTTTTAGTGGGAATGTAAATTAGTACAGCCACTCTATGGAGAACCAACCATATGGAAGTTCCTCAAAAAACTAAAAATAGAGCTACCATATGATCCAGCAACCCCATTGCTGAGTATATGTCCAAAAGAAAGGAAATCGGTATATCAGAGAGGTATCTGCACCCTCACGTTTATTGCACTATTCATAATAGCCAAGAAATGGAATCAACCTAAGTGTCCATCAGTGGATGAATGGATAATGAAAATATGTTACAAATACACAATGGAATATTATTCACCCATAAAAAGAATGAAATCCTGTCATTTGCAATGACCAGTGGATGGAACTGGAAGACATTATGAAATAAGGTGAAATAAGCCAGGCACAGAAAGACAAATATTGGATGTTCTCATGTACATGTGGGAGCCAAAAAAAACTGAACTCGTGGGGATAGAGTAGAGTGATGGTTAGCAGAGGCTTGAAAGGGTGCGGAGCTAAAGTGGAGATGGTAAATGAGAGCAAAAATACATACGCTTAAGTAGAATGAGTAAGATCTAGTATCCGGTAGCAAAATAGGGTGACTATAGTTAACAGTAATTATATATTTTAAAATAACTATAAGAGTGGAATTGGAATGTTACTAACACAAAGAGATGATAAATGCTTGAGAGTGAAGGATACCTCTGATTAGGTCATTACACATTGCATGCCTGTGTCAAAACATCATGTGTACCCATTAAATATGTAGAACTATTATGTACCCATAATAATTAAAAATAAAATTTTTTTGTTAGAAAAGGCCGTGATGCTTTTTCAAGGGAGATGGTCTGATGGTTGAGTGACCGTCACCAGTTACGAAGCAGGCAGTGGGTTACAAAGTCCCCTCCTGGCCAGAGCCTTCTCCAGGGCAAGTGAGTGATGACAGCTCATGGTTACCTTGGGGTCCCTCCAGGAGCCTGTCTGAGCTGTTAACGGGTCACAAGAGTTGGCATTTGTACTTCCTGGTATGGGGACACTTTGGGGCCCCCCCATGGAGAGTCCTGTACGACCAGGGAAGGAGTTAAGGATGGAAGTGGTGTGTATTGAAACAACTGCCTGGTCGTTGAGGTCAGTTTCACAGCCAAGAAAAACTGTGATAGGAATTACTTCTTCAGTATGTGCTTTGTGCTGGCAATTGGGCGAGGTGTTTGGGGATACAAAAGTGAGTAAGGCATCTGTGTCAGGTGGGCCAGGTTGTGCTGTGATAACAAACAAACCCCCAAATCACAGTGGTTGAAAACAAGTGTTTATTTCTCGAGGAAGCTACATGCCCATCACAGATCTGCAGGGAGGTTCTGCTCATTGCTGTCACCCAGGGCCCTGGCTCCCAGGGATCCAGCAACTGTAATGCTGTGGATTGCTGGGCTGGAGGTTAAAAGCAAGCTCTGGAGAGCCCCCCACTTGTGATCGTAGTACATCTGCCAGAACTAGCCTCATGCCCCCACGCCCATGAGAGACCAGCGCGTGCAGCTCTACATGGTGCTTGGACGAAGGAAGGCCAGGAACGTTCGGGACAGCACCGTAGCGCAGTGGGACCCTCCAGAGCTAGTGAGCAGCACAGTAAGTGGAAACCCTGTCAGGGCCACGGTCCGAGGTAGCTGGGGGTACCATGGCAGCACCCAAAAGGGGTAGCTGGCCATCTTGGAAGGCTTCCTGGAGGAGGGTATGGGGAGATGGTACACGCTGGTCGTGTAAGTGCGGAAGGCTATGGGGGAGAGTAGAGTTAGGGATGTAAGCAGGAAGGGACGGTCTGAGCAAAGACCAGGAGGTGGGACACAGCGAGGGGATGTATAAGTGGTAGAAGTCCCTGCAGCGTGAGGGTGGAGGCGGGGTGTGGCCAGAGGTGGGGCAGCAGGGCGCCCCTGCGCTGGTGGACAGTGCCACCCCCAACAGGGATGACAGCAGCATAAGGGGAGCAGGGCATCCAAGGGCCCGAGCACGGTGCTCCCTGCAGTGGTCAGCACGTTGCTCTCCCCCAGGTGACCACTGGCCTCTCCAGAACCAGGCTGCCCTGGGGCCGCGGCCCCGGAGCTCAGAGCAGCGTCTCCCAGCCGGTTCCGAGGAGCACCTGCTTCAGCAACACCTGGAGAGCTTGTTCAGATGCTCGTGCTGAGCAGCACCTGGGCCTGCTGATCCACGGGCCTGGGGGTGCTAGGGAAGAGTGGGGGGGTGGCGACGGAGAGACTGGAATTTTAAACAAGTCAGGAAATTCTGCCCCCAACTTTCTATTATGATCATTTCAAACTCATACCAAAAAAGCTGAAAAAGTTAGATGATCACCCACATAACCCCCACCTCCATTGGACAGTTACTCACATTGGCTCATGTGCGTATGAGGCGGGACCATTGGCAGTAGGCTGCCAGCGTCAGTACCTCACCCCTAAACACCTCCCGAGAACAAGAGCATTCTTCTCTGTTGGCTCAACACCATCACCACGCTTGAGAAAATTAACATTAATTCAGTACCTTACAGTCCATATTCAGATTTCCCCAAGTGTCCTCCAAATGTCTTTTGCAGTTTGTTGTTTCTAGCCGGGATCCAGTTGTCGCCAGGTGACCCCCAAGCAAGCCCTTGGGGTGCGCCTGGCGTTGCTGGCATAACCGTGTAGACGTGCGGGGCACTAGGTGACTATCCGGCGGGCCTGCCTGCTGTATTTGCACTTTGGAATAGGGCTTCTTGGAAACTACAGAAGCGCCATGTGTCAGAGGAGCGCGCCTCTGATGAGGGTTTCTACGCCCAGTGATGCACCGTGGGGAGCACGGTGAGGGGCAGCTGGCACTCCCTGCCCCCACGGCACACGGCTCACAGGCCACCTCCAGCTCAGCCTCCTGAGAAAGCAGCTGCTCCTGGGGGCAGAGGGGAGCTCGTGAGGGGATGGCACTTGGCCACCCCCTGAACCCTGGGCTGGCCTCACAGCCTGGCACTGTCCCTGCGAGAGGTCTGGGTGGAGCAGAGCCGCCTGTCCTCCCCCATCTGACCCTCTCAGACTACTCAGGCTCTGTTGCTGGCAAGCAAGGACCAGAGACACAAGCAGTGTCTTAGGGCCATGGAGTCAGGAGAGAATGACCTAGAAGTCTTGGTGTTTGCTAGGCCCGACTGCCTGTTGTGGTGCAGGGCGCAAGGCTGGAGCCGTCCCCAGGCCTGGCACAGCATCTGTGAGCCGCTCGTGCCCAGAGGCCCGGAAGGGCAGGCTTCCTTCCCTCTGCGGCCAGCGCCCACCAGACTTTGAGGATGGCAGAGGAGGAAGTGGCCGACAGCTGACCTGGTGATCTCTCAGGTCCACTGCGAGCCCAACATACTTCCCCTGCCCTCAACAAGCAGCATCTGAACATTTAAATCTAGATGTAGCGACATGAGAAGAAACTGCCCAGCAGATAAGCTGCAGTGAAGGTAGGCTCTGCCTTGAGATGGAAATGATGGCTGGGAACACGTGGGCTGAGTTTTCTCCTGTATCGCCGTGCCAGACGGGACAAGAGAGCCAGGGCAGAGGTTGGGCCCCACCAGTCACAGGCTGGGAGGGACCTTAGACAAGAGTTAAGCTTCCTGGGCTTTGTCCCTGGCTCCACCCCTGGCCACTTAGGTCCAGTCCCTCCCTCACCATAATGGCCCCTTATGTCTCTGGGGCTCTCATAATCCCAAAAGCCCCATGAGATCTCAGGTGGTTCTCACTAAGAGCCCAGGTAACACTGGAATTATCCTCATTTTAAAAGGAGGAAAAAGCCCCAGCCAGGGTCCCACGAGTTTAGTGGCAAAACTGTGATCAGAATCCAGACCTGGCAGCTCTGGCCCTGCTTCTTCCACACCAAGCTGCTTTCTTCCCTCGTTAGTGCTCCATCTCTTTCCTCCTCCCCTCCCCCCTTCCTCTGTCATATGCTATAAACCAGAGAAACACACGATCTGCCAATACAAGGACACAAAATTATTTGGGATTGGGACTCTCTG